ATGATCAGGGGCTGGCCCGCCCAAGCCCTTCCGTGGTGGCCCTGTTGGCTCGAACCTGTTGGCTTGAAACTAACACCAGCCTCGCTGGGGGATTCCAGCCACAACATTAATCTGTCTACAGTCAGTCCTTACAGATGAGATCTCCACTCCAGTCAAAGACAGCCCATACACGTTTCCTCTCTTTCTACTGCGGATAACCCGAGCAGAAAGAGGCAAGAATCAAATGGTCATTCACGTCCAAGGAAACCAAGGAACTAACACATCAGTTCTAGATGCGCTCCTGTCTGCTCCACTCTTCACAGAGGATCACAGGAAGCCCGTGACTACGGTTAGTTCTTGGCTCCCCGTGTACTCAATTTGCTGAATGGGCCTGCGTCTCCTGAGGGCGGGCTACTGCACAAATGAGCTGAGCTCACAGGACAGCTGGCTGCATTCTGAGCCACTCAGGACAGTGGTGGTGGTCTGGGGCATATAATCCCCCCACTGAAAGTAACAACACGCAAACACAACAGCTATCACTTGCTGAGAACTTCACACAGATGATCTCATTTAACCCTCAAACCCTTGGCACACAAGGGTTCAAGAAAGGGTAGGACCTACCTCTCAGGGTCAGCCCCACCTCCCTTTAGACTAATGCCCCCATCCCCTCCCCCCCCCACCTTGGGGGCCACATGAGGGAGCCGGGTTAACAATGGAGCTTGCACTACCCCAGACCTCCTGCAGGGGGCTCTTTGACGGCCGGACCCAGGAATATGCATTTTCCCAAGGTCAGCAGGCGAGTCTTCAGCATCGGGAAGTTTGAGGACCATTTTCCTAACCAGGGTACTTATCAATGAGTCTCGAATGCCAGTAGGATGCTTCTTATCTAGAAAAGCAAAGACGCGGGATAGCAAGCCACAGTCCTTGCCCGGGCTCCTCAGGACCTGCTACTCTTGCTGGCACTTTTTTCAGTCAGATATGTAAATAAGGATGGTGTTCTGTTCTGCTCTAACCTGATCAAGAGACTAAAGCTAACAAATATAAATTTCTGGATACCTGACCAAAACCAAAAGAAGACCAAAAAGCCCTAAACCCAATGTAGCTTATTCCTAGGGCCTCACATGTTTTAAGCACCCAGTATGGAATCAGTAAACCTTCATCATGGACAGTCAAGATATGCCCAAAACCACCCTGCAGTTTCTTCCTTTACCTTCTTATATTCTTATGTTTCTATTTAAACAAAACAAAAAAAAGTTCTTCCCTTCCAGAGCACCAGCTGTTTGTTTTTTATTAACAGAGGATTGGCTTCTCTGGAAAACAAAATGGGAAAATCTTCCTTCGTTTCAAGTACTGGGCTGGGGATGCCTCTGGTATTGTTGAGGGAACACAAAAGTGAGGGGAAGGCAGACTCTCACTTCTTCTTTTTTTTTTTTTTTTTAAGATTTTATTTATTTTTTAGAGAGTGAGCGAGAGAGAAATAGCGTGAGAGGGGAGAGGGTCAGAGGGAGAAGCAGGCTCCCCGCTGAGCCGGGAGCCCGATGTGGGACTCGATCCCAGGACGCTGGGATCATGACCTGAGCCTAAGGCAGACGCTTAACCGTCTGAGCCACCCAGGCGCCCCCCAGACTCTCACTTCTGAGTACAACTCAAAGTTGACTGAAAAATTGTTTATCAAAGTCATTTAAGTTCTTTCCTTTGTGTAATTTTTAACCTTAGCAAGAAAATGGGACTACCATTTTCTGGTTCACTGCCAAAGTAAAGCAAGGTAATTTTTCATAAAACATCAAGCTGCACAGGAGAGGGAAGACGAGAATCCCGTTTTTGGAATTCCTGACACGTAAGGAGCTGGGCCAGACACATATAGACGTGGACTTCCTTAGAGTGACCTATTCAGGTGAGGCGCGAAACCGTATCTTCCAGGTGAGAAATCAAGGCTCCGTGTCTCCATATGGGCTCCCCCATAAGCAGAGTCCAAGACGAGGACGTGGGTTTACAAGTTTATTTGGAAGGTGATCCCAAGAGGCCCAAGGGAAGGCACAGGGAAGGTGAGACCGAGAGGGGAGAAAGCCCATAAAAGCCGTGAAAACGAGGTTGCTATGTGCACGTGGGGCTCAGTTTTACCGGGACCCCCTGCTGAATCGTGGTAGGCACCGCAGAACTGTCCCCGTCGGGGGGGGGGCAGGAAGCTCGGGGTCCCCCACCAGCACCCATGCTTCCCCGGCTGAGGGCTGCCCCGAGGCCACACCCACACAAGCACAGCCGGGACTCGAATCCAGGTGGGACTCACAGGCCTGCGTGCCCGTCACCTCACCTCAGGTGCCACCTCACCTCTCCTCTCACCCACGCAGGCTCCCGAGCACAATCTCGATACCATGCACAAATGAGGGACTCACACTTTTTCTTCTATCTTCCAATTTCCACCCCCCACCCCTTCTTTTCTTTTCCCCCAACCTTAAAAACACAGAGTCGTCCTTCTGAGATGTTCACTCACAGGCGTCTTCTTCCTGCACAAGCTTTCGCTTCAAAAAGAAAACAAATTCTGTATTTGCAAAGTGTGTGGGGAAGCCGCCCATCATGGCTGTTTTGTTTTCAAGGCAGGCACGTTACTGTGCAACAGTGAGGGACACAGAGAACAGAACTGCAGGCAGAAGGGTGGCGGGGCGCTCCCGGGGACAGCGATTCAGCGCCCCCCCACCAGACACACGGCCTCGCCAGGAAATCAGGGGGGCCGTGGGGGGCGGGCGGTGTACGGCTCTCCTGTCTGTCCTGGCTGCAGCAGAGCACTGGGCAGGGCAGGACGAGTGGAGGGATGCACTGTAACCCTGTGGGGACCTGCAGGACGACCAGCTATGGAAAAGCCCTGTGGGTCCGACTAGCCAAGCCATCTGTATACACAGACATCAGCAGCGCTCAGATAAGTTATACAAGCTTTCCACCATCAGAATGGCTCCCTGGGGTAATATAATGGCTTTTTTTTTTTTTTAAGATTTAATTTACTTATTTGAGAGAGACAGACAGACACAGCATGAATGGGGGTGGGGGGGCAGAGGCAGGAACAGGCTCCTCGCTGAGCAAGGAGCCTGATGTGGGGCTCGATCCCAGGACCCTGAGATCATGACCTGAGCCAAAGGCAGATGCTTAACAGACTGAGCCACCCAGGAGCCCCATATAATGGCTATCGGACCCAGGACCTCTTTGAATTGTTTGCACGCAAAACAAACAAAAAGGGGTAAATAGGCTTAGCTGATCTGCTTGATCCTTAACTATTAAAAAAAAAAAAGGTAGGGGCGCCTGGGTGGCTCAGCTGGTTAAGCGACTGCCTTTGGCTCAGGTCATGATCCTGGAGTCCCGGGATCGAGTCCCGCATCGGGCTCCTTGCTCGGCAGGGAGTCTGCTTCTCCCTCTGACCCTCCCCCCTCTCATGCTCTCTGTCTCTCATTCTCTCTCTCTCAAATAAATAAATAAAATCTTTAAAAAAAAAAAAAAGGTAAATTTGCCATTTTTGCTGCTTTCTATAGAAATTCATTCCTGCAGTACCAAAAGTGTTATAGACTCTGCAGTAATTTCTCATTATGATAAAATACATAGAGATATAAAGGGCAGTGAATGTATCCCTCAAGAATAATGAATCCAGCGAATGGACACATGCATGTATTATGTGGAATGCTCAGGCCTGTACCAGAGCCCAGGGTCACTGAGTGATGGCCCTAATATAACCAAGTAATTAATTAGTTCCATCATGATTTTTGCTTTATGATATCCACTTTTATATGCCAAGTCAATTTAATGGCATTTTAAATTGGAGTGAAGCCCCAAGAGAAGAAAGCACTATATACCTTATTGAATCACAAATCTTACATCTGATTTTTTAATTCCAAAAATGACCTAATAAACTTGCTTTATAATTAAATCTATCCAAACAACTCCTCTTTTTGTGTTTTTCATTCATTTCTAGTAATCATGCAGAGATTTCCATTGGAAATCCATTATCACTGCAATTAAGTATAAATGTTCCTTTGTGTGGGGGAACCTGGGTGGCTCAGTCCATTGAGCATCGACTCTTGGTTTCAACTCAGGTCATGATCTCAGGGTCGTGAGACTGAGCCCCACATCAGGCATGGTGCTCAGTGCAGAAGCCTGCTTGAGATTCTCTCTCCTCTCCCTCTGCCCCACCCCCTAAAGAAACAAATAAAATCTAAAAAAAATTCCTTTGTGTGCACTTAACATAAACACCCTATGCTCTCTGTCTCATGTCAGGGCTTGACCAGCTTCCTCCAGGAATACAGAGAGAAACTACAGGTTTTCAGTAATAGCTGGAGCCTCTGATTTACTTGCCTGCAACACATGAATTATGCATGAATTAATAAAGTCAGAAATCCAGACCTTCAGATTATTTCCTCATGTGGAAATTTTACCTTTAGAAAAATAAGCTGGCATACAACTTTTCATTTTTAGGCCTTGCCAAAATTTTAAAATTTACGACCTACATGAAAAGTTCGCAGTTTATTGAGAAAGCAGTCACTTAACGAAAGAGGTAAAGAATTATGAGACTGAGTTACTACCTACTGGGCTGAGGCACCTACAAAAGAGGTAAAGAATGAAACTGTATCAAGGTTTCTAAGAACCCAAAAGATTGCTGCAAAATGGTTTTTTGCCTTAGATTCAACTGAATAGAAAATCAAACTCTGTCATTTATGTTGGCTTTCATCTACCTTCAATCACAAAGTAATTACAATACAAAATTAACCTGGGTGATTTTTTTTTTTTAAAGATTCTGCTATTTTAAAGGATATTCTTTTGTACAGAAATTTATTTTCTATTTTCATGAAAGTGTTATGATTTCCACAGTGCATGAAATTTTGATTAGATCTACTGGGTTGGCATCTGTGTTCTTCTCCTAATAAATGAGAAAACATTCTTTGAACAGCCTAAATAATCTAAGTTTGCAAGCAAAATATACAGCCTAAAATTATCAGCTGTTGATACCAGCAATGAAGAAGGAAGAAAGAACACAGCCTTACCATTGGTTGTATTCTTTTTAAAGTTATCCAGGAACTCCTCCAGAAGCTGGGACTGGTTCGGAGGGGGCAGCAGACTCTTCTGGTCCCTTGAGAACAGGTCACTGTCTGACCAGGACGAACACAAGGTGCCTTTTGTGTCTGGCGGCCGGGCAATCAGAGTGAGCCCAACGCTCTGCTCAGAAAACAAGGCTTCCATCTGCTTCAGGTCAAGATCAGACACAGCTTCCCCATTTAAGGTCACGATTTCGTTGCCCTTTCTCAACCCTGAGAACAAGGAAAAGGAAGAGAAGAGAGATTACTGGGAGAAGTATTTTAACATGAAGGTGAAGGACAGCCACAAATTCAAAGCACGTATTCTCAGGGACATCCTGCTGCGGTCTTCAAAGCAAAGCCCAAAACGCACAGTATCCGGATGCTGCTGATAACGCATTTCAGCTCTCTCAAAACTGGGATTAAAAGGAACAGTTTGGGGTTTTGGTTTTGGGGTTTTGTTTTTTTTTTTTTAAGTAAGCTTTTTGCCCAACGTGGGGCTTAAACTCACGACCTGGAGATCAAGAGTAGTGTGCTCAACGGACTGAGCCAGCCAGGTGTCCCCAGAAGGAACAGGTTGAAAAAGAAAACCAAGAGCGCGTGGACGGCTCAGTCGGTTGAGTGTCCGACTCTTGATTTCGGCTCAGGTCATGATCTCAGTCAGGGTCTTGAGCCGGAGCCCCTCGTCGCCCTGGGGGACTCTGCTGCAGATTCTTTCCCTCTGCCCCTCCCCTGATCCTGCACACTCCCTCTAAAGTAAACAAATCTTAAAAAAAAGGGAAAACCATTTGACCATCATTCAAATTCATTATTCCTCTACCTGATGTTAAATGCCGTGGGAAATAACATTCGTCTGTGTCTACCTGGCTACCCGTTTCCTTTCTCCATCTGTCTGTACACATGCACTGTACTGTCTCTGTGGGTGTACATACTCTCTTTCAAAACAAACCCCCCCAAATACTCTCTCCATATATATATATACACATATATAGGCATATGCATTTTCATTTAAACTATTAAGTTTGCCCTTTTTTTAGTTCTAGGAGAAGCCATTTTCTGACAAAACTGTCAACAAGAACATCTCACTAGGCAGACTGCATTCCATAGTTTTGAATTAAGAGAGAACAGAGACACTCTGTGCCACACGGACCTTCTCCATATGCCAAGCCGTCAGGGAGAACATCACTTATAAATATTCGGCTGAGATGCTGATGCTCGTCCACCTGCACTATCACTGCGAACCCTACGAGTGACAACAAAAGAAAAAAACAAGTCTAAATTCAGCACACTAATTAATTTCTCCAACTCAATCAGCAGTATTCCCTTGAACGTCTTTTCTCATAAGTACGCAGTGTCGAGGAAGTCAAGTTACGGGTATTGAGAAAGCACAGCTATCTGGCAGGGGCAGAAAACCAGGAATGTGTCAGATCTAAAGGCTCAATAGGAGTGCACAACCTTGTTCAAAAGCGGAGACGCTACACCCACGTTTAGAGCAGCATTATTGACAACAGCCAAAGGTGGAAGAAACCTGGTCATTTTTTTTTTTTTTTAAGATTTATTTATTTGACACAGCAAGAGAGGGAACACAAGCAGGGAGAGTGGGAGAGGGAGAAGCAGGCTTCCCGCCGAGCAGGGAGCCCGATGCGGGGCTCCATCCCAGGACCCTGGATCATGACCTGAGCCAAAGGCAGACCCTTAACCGACGGAGCCCCCCAGGAGCCCCCTGATCATCTTTTGATAAATGAATGGATAAACACAATGCAGTATGTACATACAATGGAATTACGCCCTCATAAAAAGGAAAGAAATTCCAATACATGCTATCACATGGACAAACCTTGAGGACCTTATGCTATGTGAAATAAGCCAGTCACAAAAGAACAAATACTGTATGGTTCCACTTACGTGAGATACTGAGAGCAGACAAATCCATAGACACAGAAAGCAGAATGGCGGTTGGCAAGGGATGGGAAGGAGGAATGGGGAGTGACGGTTTTAAAAAATACAGAGTTCCAGTTTTGCAACATGAAAATAGTTCTGAACATGGACGCTGTTACTGGCCGCACAGCAATGGGAATGTATTTAATGTCACTGAGCTGTCATTTTTAACCATTCTTTTTTTTTTTTTTCAAGATTTTATTTATTTATTTGAGAGAGAGAATGAGAGAGAGAGAGAGCATGAGAGGGGGAGGGTTAGAGGGCGAAACAGACTCCCTGCTGAGCAGGGAGCCCGATGCGGGACTCGATCCCGGGACTCCAGGATCATGACCTGAGCCGAAGGCAGTTGCTTAACCAACTGAGCCACCCAGGCACCCCATTTTTAACCATTCTTAATGGTTACAATGGTAAACTTTGTTACAGGTGTTTTACCACAATTTAAATTTTTTTTAAATTTTTTTAGAAGTTGAAACCAAAAAAAGTACTCTTACTGAAATAAATTAAATTCAGTTCAATACAAAATAATTTGTTAAGAAACAACTCTATATGGGGTTAGGCATTTTAAGTAGGTGGAAAACCACTTGGATGGATACCGTACCGGCCCTAAATGTGACTCCATGCAAAACCCAGGTGAGACAGCCCTGCCTCTAAATGCATCTCCCTCACCTGGGTGTGCTCTTCTCTCTGATTCCACAGTTGGGAGCACCTGTTTCCATGTCCTGGTTCCATAATACTGGGAGTTCTTTGACAAGAAGAAGAATGATGTGTCCCCCCACCCTTTTCCTCTGTGCCTCGGGCAGAGCCTGGCAGACTGTGATCACCACAAGGCATCTTTGCAAGTGTCTTCATTCAGTCCTTCAGTCATTCAAATACAAAGAAGATTCACAAACACCCACCAAGAAAAGTAGAGTGAAGGTCAATAGAATACAAACAAAATGCTAAGAAGGCTTCAGAGGGAAAATCAACATAACATTGGGTCAAAATAGACTATGTAAATTAAAAAATAAAGAACATGTCAATTATATAAATTTTTTTAAAAAGACACAAAGAACAAATCCCAAGAAAACTAACATATTACAATGACTGGAATTTGATCAGCCGGATTCATTTTAAGGAAAAAAATTGTATCGATGTATTCAACAAGACAAGAAATAGTCTTTTATGGAGATATGTATTGATGATCATTATCTAATTATTGAGTTCCCATAGTAAAAGACAGAATAAAATGTTGAAATGAACTTTAAGACATGAGTATACAGTCCATGAGGAGCTTAAAGCTAAGTTTAAAGACAAACAAATGGAAATGCAAAAATCAAATATTACGAAATGACGTGGATAATATTGACCCTTCATTTTTTAAACTGAAGGTAAAGCAGTCATATAAGCCTTCTTGAAGAAAGTTAGACCTTTAGTTCCTGGAGGCCACGGTGGATCTCCACAGAGAGGAGGGAAGGCGGGGGCGGTAGGCAGTGAAAGGCCCCGTTTCTGGCGGGTGAAAAGCTGAGAGCAAAGACACGGAGGAGAATCCCGAGTTACTCAGCTCAGAACAGCACCCAGTAAATTCGTTGTGTTACTCTTATCACCATCGTTTCAAACTCATCAATTTTTATACTTATTCCTTTTCATTACTTTGGCATTTTCCCCTATTTAATAAGCATCTTTTGAGCTTAATATAAATAAATAGAAATGAAGGAAATGAGAGGAATTTCAGAAACTACTATCCTAGTTGACACTGAAAATGTAAACGTAAAGAAAAAAAAATTAGGTCCAAAGATCCTGGAGCAAACTAGACACGGATGGACAACACGGCTCTCTAACTGGGTTCCTTTTTTTTTTTAAGATTTTATTTATTTATTTGACAGAGAGAGAGAGCACAGCAAGAGGAGCAGGACAGGGAGAAGCAGGCTCCCCGCTGAGCAGGGAGCCCAACACGGGGCTCAATCCCAGGACCCCGAGATCATGACCTGAGCCAAAGATAGACGCTTACTCGACTGAGCCACCCAGGTGTCCCCCCGACTGGGTTACTGTGCTTACCAAAGTCAGACACACTCCCGGTCTTCGTGAGCTGCACATCATAAACACTTAGCGGGAAGATTTCTATTTCATCATAAACCTACAAAAGGAAAAACAACAAAATCAAAAAATTTAATGTCATGATATCTTGGAAAATTTTTTTAAAGATTTTATTTATTTGAGACAGCATGCTCACAAGTTGGGGGAAGAGCAGATGGAGAAGGAGAAGCAAGACTCCCCACTGAGCGCTGAGGCCGACGCGGGGCTCAGCCCCAGGACTCTCAGATCCTGACCTGAGCTGAAACCAAGAGTCAAACGCTCAACCAACTGAACCACCCAGGCGCCCCCTTGGAAATTTATTTTAATGATTTCCAAACTAGATGCCAAATTAAAACAGAATCCCCCCAATCCCCTACAAATTACATACTTTTTTTTTTAAGTAGGCGCCACACCCAGCATGGAGCCCAACTCGGCACTTGAACTCACAACCCTGAGATCAAAACCCGAGCCAAGATCAAGAGTCGGACACTTAACCGACTGAGTCACCCAGGCGCCCCCACAAATAACTGACTTAAAATCAAGAGGCCTTAGATGTGGTTCAAATCACTTGCCTGTTCTTGCATGTATTCATATGGTGCAGGGACACAGTACTCAATGTTTTCATCTACTAATTTTCGGAGCTGTAGGCCATAGTGACTGGGTTCCAGCTGCCTCATCTGTAAAGAAAAAAGACAGCCATTCAAGATTTTAAATGTTCTTTCTAAATTCATCGTTGTTCATTAAAAATCAAAGTGGACATTTCTGAAGGAAATACTGTATATACTGCATGGAGTTTAAACCCATACGTAAGAGCTGAAATTTAAATGTGCAAAAAAATAAAGACGGGACAAATAATTACTTTTAAGAAGGTTTTCTCTAAATGACACCGCTTATCACTAAAAAGCAAGAGGTGTATTTTTAAGAACTTAGGGTAGTATATTATCTGACAGGATAGATCTTACCATCTCAGCAGGTACTATCATTTTATACATTGGTTTTACCCAAGTTGTTTCTCATTACTGAAGTAGAGAAATTGTGTGAAATGTGAAAAACCTCATATTGTACAAACCTCAGAATTAGGAATTTCCTACCCCAAAAAATGTTTTTTCAAAAGGAAAATGCTGATACATGTACTCATTCACTCACTCACAAATTATTTCAGGCCTATGCTCTAACTGGGTCTAACTGACCCACTCCGACTTCTGGCGTCCTATGTCACTTACAGACCTATGAACTTCATAACTCGTGTTGTTGGTATAAAACAATATTGTGGGTTGTCTGAATAAAAACCTTACATAACGGAGTAGAGGACATTAAACTGGTAAGAATTTAAAGCTACATATATAAATGTCTGGTGTCCTAAGGCTTAAGTCAAAGCAAGACTATTAAAAGATAAAATTAATGATTATTCATATCTGTTAAGTGTACATGGTAAAGAGTTACCGAAGTCCACATGCCTGTTCTCACCATGCCAGGTTATTTGATGGCATTTTCTCTGAAACTTAAGAAGAGTTCAGCTCTACTGCGCCACCTGGTGGGTTAAAAACCTCTGCTCTGACGTTCAGTCTATTACCAGCGGGTTCTCTTTAAGACTTAGTGTAAACATTCTTTTCAGAAACAAAACCCAATTTGAATAATGAGTAAAACACCATCTCATAACAATCTCCATGAAGCAACCGTGAATAGTATCAAGTTACTCGTTTAATCTAGAGAAACTCGATAAAACTGCTTAGGAGTAAACCAAACTACTTCGAAGTTTACGCCACTTGCTTACGGAGCACTGTCCCTAAGGAACTTAAATAACAACAGTCTTCATGATTATTCTAGATATAAAGGCATATTAGGAATTTCAGTAAAACGACTCAGGTTCTTCATGAAGGCAAGGGCCCATAACCTAACAACTCACTCTTCTAAAAGATGGAAGAAGAGAATGCTAATTAAAGTAATAAATATGTCCATTAATAAACATGTTGGTTAATAGATGTTAATCTTTTCCCTAGTATAGAAAGTGAGCTCCTAAATACCACACAGATTTAAAAGGCATAGGGAGGCAACATTAATGATTCTTTCTACTGAGACATATTTCCACAGCAAAATCCATTACCTTGCATGCCAAAGTCAAAATATCTTCTACTCTATGTTCTGGCTTGATCATTACAGTAACCCCTTGATTATCCTGAAAATGAACGTAGGTCTGGACTTCCCACGTGTTGTCTCGGGGAACACCATCGGCTGTTGAACCGTATATATGCAGAAGTTCATCCACCTGTTTTCAGATACCACAAGAAAATACAGATAGATTTGATACACAAAGCACGGACACTATGAAAAAAATGTCCCCTTGATTCATGGCATATTTTATAGTAAGCCCTTCTACATTCCTTGTGTCTGGCTTCTCACAACCTTCTAGGGCAGACAAGCCCAGTGTCTCCTCATTCATTTAACCCACACAAAACTGAAGCCCAGGGAGGCTGACCAGAAGGCAATGGACTCCTCGTCCAGTGTTCTAGCCACATGCCATTTGCCACTTAGCCCAAGTCTGAACATGACACAGTGGATGCAACGGTGCTTGGTATCCACTCTCACTGCTCTAGAATTGCTGGTTGACAAGCGCCCTGTGTAATCTGCATTCCTGATCCCCGTGAATTTTAAAATGGTCTCATTTATGGCCACTGATGCCTGTCCGCATCCTAACCCGAACTGCACTTCATCTGAGCAGGTTTCTCTTCTCTCATATTTCTACTTGCTTCTTAAAATCAGTCCCTAATCCTGGGAACATTTTTTTTTCTTTCCGTCAGCTATTTCACATCTAGACACTCTTAGAAATCATCCCCAAACATACCAGCTTTAGAAGGAAGCTTTTCCCAAAGATGTTTAATTCCCTGGACCCCATTAGCATGGTAATTCAATGATCTCATGTTAACATAAACTTCCGTGATTTATAAACAAAAATAGTTAACATGTATTAAACAACTCAGAAATGTGCTGGGTGCCTGGGTGGCTCAGTTGGTTAAGCGTCTCCTTCGGCTCAGGTCATGATCCCATGATCCTGTCGGGACCAGAGTCGGGCTCCCTGCTCAGTGGGGAGTCTGCTTCTCCCTCTACCCTTCTCCCCTGCTCATGATCTCGCTCTCTCTCAAATAAGTAAATCTCTTAAAAAAAAAAAAAAAAATGTCGTCCTCTGGTTAGATTCTTGCATTGGTCTTCACTGGTGGTAAAGAAAAGACCCGGGGATTTGAAATCAAAAAACCTGATGTTCAAGTTACACATTCTACCATTTAATCAGCAAGACAGGACATTCACCTTGATGAGCCTTGTCTCCCATTCTGTAAAAGGGGATATTAGTAATATAATTACTTAGGTTTATTAGTTAATACAGATTTTGCAAACAAAAAAATACAGATGTGAAAATACCTTACACACTAGAAAATGTTACTTTCAATACTATCACATAATTATAGCCTACTTATCATAAAGTTATCATCAATGGATTTTACTCTGAATTCCATGCATTAAAAAGCCCACAAAGCAAAAAAATCCTCCTATGCTGGATAAAAAAACTAGAATAGAGGGGCACCTGCATGGCTCAGTCGGTTAAGCATCTGCCTTGGGCTCATGTCATGATCCCGGGGTCCTGGGATGGAGACCCAGGTTGTGTTCCCTGCTCAGCGGGGAGCCTGCTTCTCTCTCTCCCCCCTGCTCATGCTCTCTCTGTCTCTCTCAAATGAATAAAATCTTAAAAAAAAAAAAAAAAAAAAAGCAAGGATATGTTGAAGATTTCAAAAGAACAGGCTCAGGAAAAGCAAGAAAAGAATCAATTTTTCTGTGCTGTCTTTTTAAAAATGTGGTATTCGTCTTTAAAGGGATGTTTCTGGACCTGTCATGAATCTGTCACTTTCTGTACAGTTTCCTGGAAAATGATAATAGCCCAGAATGAATATCAACCTCATGTGCCAAACCAAAAGAAAAAAGAGAGGAATAGACGCCTGGAGCCAAGGAGCAGGCAGCCAGCATGGACCCACTTTCTCCTGAAGGATCCTATCTCATTCAGATCACTAATCTTTCTCTGATTCAACCTCCAGGTACTTTTCCTCTGGGGAGTGATTTCAACCAGGTGCATTAGTAACAAGCAGGTACTTCCTTAAAGGTACAGACCCCACCTCTCAAACCAGGCTTGCTCAGAACCAAACTAAAACCCCAGCAGAGGTCACTGTGGAGTAAGAAACCACACAGGAAGCCAGGCCAAGAAGTCAGACAGTGGATTACTCCCGCAAAGCAATTGAATCTTGTACTTTCAGAGCAGAACAGGAAAAACTGAAGACGGACAGGTGGAAGAGGGATAGAAGAAATACAAGCTCGCAACTATCCTTCCCTTTCCTCCTGTTCCCATCCTTTATTCTCCAGCATAGAGAGACTGTCTTACATGGGGCCAGATGGAATAGCTTTTTTTTTTCTTTCCAAGTAGGCTCCACACCCAACCTGGGGCTTGAACTCGCCACCCTGCAATGAAGAGCTGCATGCTCTACTGAGCGAGCCAGCCAGGCAGTCATGTGCCCCTGGATGGAATACACTTTTCACATGCTGTCAGTTCACTGACAACCCTTTACACATTGCCCTGACCCTCTAGGTAACAAGTGAGAAAAACGAGGCTCAGAAAATTCTAGAAACTTGCCCAAGCGCAAGTGAGCTGTAATGATGGTACTATGGGGATCTGAACCCTAAAAACCTGGCTTCAGCCTGTGCTCGGTTCAGCCTATGCTCACCACCACTGCGCTATATAGAAATATCAACCTGCCAGTTACCTCCCCACAAAATGGATACAACTTAACTTTCTCGAATCTTTTCTGTTCTTCTACAGCACACACCAGGTTCTAGTGGAACAAAACAGCTCACCTGACATTCCCCACAAAGCAGCAGCACTTCTTTTCTTTTTTTTTAATTTTATTTATTCATTTGAGAGAGAATGAGATAGAGAGAGCATGAGAGGGGGGAGGGTCAGAGGGAGAAGCAGACTCCCCGCCGAGCAGGGAGCCCGACGCGGGACTCGATCCCGGGACTCCAGGATCATGACCTGAGCCGAAGGCAGTCGCTTAACCAGCTGAGCCACCCAGGCGCCCAGCACTCTCCTTTCGTTTCAACTTCCCTTGCCTGCTTTACGTCCCCTCACATGTCCAATGCTGAAACCATATACATCCTTCAACCTTATTTCCAATGCTACCCACTCCCTCTCTAATGAAGTCTCTCTTGCTCCCTTCCCTCCTACCCCAATTCCACTCAATTAAATGAGTCTACTGTCTTAGATCCCCTGATGCAGCACTTAGCAAAGCCCAGCTCAGTGGACAGTCATTTTTAGGTGCTCTCACGCCCCCACCCCCCCACCCCCGGTGTTAAGACAAATGACAGCAGAGGCCCTGTCTTTCTGGCTCTGGCTTCTTCAGACCTTGACACAGTGCATTCTGCACCCAGAACATATCCAGCACAGGGGCGTTGAACTGGATGCAACCAAAAATCCACAATTATACACAGGCTTGAAAGGTAAAAGCTGCCCTATCCATACAGTGTCAAGTTCTTAATCTTCCCTAAATTTTAAGAAGAGAAATCAATAGATTATTGAAGGGGAAGAAGTCCTAGACGAGAAAAGGATGCAGATAAATGCCAAAGGACAGAATATTCATATTCTACTCAATTAAACAAGGCTTTGTGCCTACAGCTACTCTGTGGAATCATTTCCTGAGCCTACACTATTGACCTAAGACTGAGGAAACGATGGAAGAGAAGATGCCTAGCAAAGCCAAGGCTGTGGAAGATTCATAGCCTCTCGAGAGATCCTGCAATGAAAATTTACATGTAAGGTTTTTCCTGTGTGTAACACACAATCTCAAACGTACCCAATTAAAGAAAGGGAAAATCTGGTTATTCCAAGGAAACATCAGGAATATGGAGTTGACTGGATGCCTGGGTGGCTCAGTTGGTTAAGCGACTGCCTTCAGCTCAGGTCGTGATCCTGGAGTCCCTGGATCGAGTCCCACATCGGGCTCAGTGGGGAGTCTGCTTCTCCCTCTGACCTCTCCCCTCTCATGCTCTCTCTCAAATAAATAAGATCTTTTAAAAAAAACGAATATGGATTTGACTAATTAATTAGAACAAGAAAAAGAAAAGACTGTATGTTTACAGATGTCCTAGGTGGTTATAAGCTCTGCCACTTGGAGCAAAAGCTAGACTGATTCCCTCAAGGGTCAATGCTGTCCATGCCAAGACTATACGCACATGGCTTTATTCTCAATAAGCCAGATAAAAGCCTTTTTTTTTTTCATAAGAGGAAAAGAGAATCTTGAAAATAAGCAAACAAACTAAGCCATCTGGAAAGCTCTCTTCCCAGCCTACCCTTTTCTGAGGTGCTGCCTTCATCTTTTTACCACTCACCCAGAAGCCAGTGGCGAGCTACTCAGCCAAGGCTGTTAACACCCAACCTACCTCCCACTCCACCTCTCCCCAAGCCCCCTCCCCCACCCGCTAAAAACTAGTTTCCAGGGGCGCCTGGGTGGCTCAGTCGGCTAAGTGTCTGCCTTCAGCTCAGGTCATGATCTCAGGGTCCTGGGATTGGGGGCGGGGGGAGATGGTGGAGGCTGGGGCAGGGGGGGGGGGCTGCTCAGCAGGGAGCCTGCCTTTCCCACTCCCTCTGCCCCTCCCCCTGCTTATGTGCATGCTCTCTCTCTGTCAAATAAATACAATCTTTTTAAAGATTTTAAAAAAAAAAAAAAAGCTAGTTTCCAATTAGTTTGCTCAAGGTTCCCAGTTCCTGAAGAAAATGCAAATAATAGACAACAAAAATATAACAGGCCATCTGGTCAAATCCCAGCCTTGCCAGGGCTGGTTATCTAATGTCTCTGGGCTTCAGTTTCCTCACCTTTAAAGGGGCCTAACCCCCCCCCCCCCCCCCGTTTCATGGGGAGGTCAGGAGATGGGTGTGAGGAATGGCATTTGAAGGCATTTTCCTATAAAGGGCCATAACAATGTCAAAAGAACTTTTTTAAAGATTTTTTTTTTAATTTATTTATTAGAGAAAGAGAGAGTGAGAGAGAGAGCGCAAGAGGGGGAAGGGTTAGAGGGAGAAGCAGACTCCCCGCCGAGCAGGGAGCCCGATGTGGGACTCGATCCCGGGACTCCGGGATCATGACCTGAGCCGAAGGCAGTCGCTTAACCGACTGAGCCACCCAGGCGTCCCAATGTCAAAAGAACTTTTTTGAAGTTCAGTCTGGATTGCAG